AAATGGAGTGCTCGAATGTGATCGCTTTTTTTCGGGAAACACAGGTTTTTTTTCCCGTATTTTTTTTTTTTTTTGGGGCATGTTTGCCCTCCCCGGGGTCCCCCCCCCCAAAAAAAAAGGGAAACAGGAAGCAAACCGTTTTTTTTTTTTTTTTTCCAGTCCCCCCTCATCCCCTTTTTTTTGGGCATACACCCATTCCCGATTTTCCTTTTTTCCCAAGGTCCCCGTACATCCCGGGAACCCAATGGCCCTGGGCCATCCCCCCCCCCCCCCCTGTTCCCGATCCGTTGCGATGTATACATGATCCTTACATATATTTCACGCGACCGACACCCCCCTCCCTCTGAACCGCCATAGGTACCGTTCTTCACTGTGCCCCCTGAGGACGACAACGGGGGGGGTGCTGCAGGAGCCAAGGCCGCCGAGGCGATGTTCGTGGAGGGGTTCGGAAAGGAGTTCGATGTCGAGGCCGGGGACGCCGAGGTACTTTTTTTTCGCTTTTTTTTATTTTTATTTGGTTTGTCGTTTGTCGTTTGACCTAAGGGGTATCCTCGGAGTATGTGTATGGACATAGCGTGCAACGTTCGGGTTCATCTTTGGCAAAAGAATCCGGCCAGGTGGCCGGGGTTGCATGTGTCTTTTGTTGCTAGGAAGGTGTAGAGCGAAAGAGGTGTCACGACAAGTAAGTGTTCTTCTGGCGGTCAAAGAATCTGCATGCGGTCGAGTTGTTGACCTCATGTCATCAACGCAACATCAGCAGGTCGAAAGTACATTGGTAAATGGACCGTCCCACATCAGCAACGGACCCGGGCAGCATCATGACCACCAGAGTGATGGTGGTGGTGGTTGTGGTTGCGGCCTGGTAGCGACTTGTTTCACGACAAGCTACAGTATCACGAGGGTACGGTAGTGCTGCTGTTGGACGAGTGCCAACGACGATCAAGGGTGATTGAGTCACGGTGATGATCACGACGATTATGCCGTGACGGAACTTAACAATTTAACCGCAGGTGCTGGGCGGCCTGCCCGAAAGAGACCCGATGGACTTCGTATCCATGGAGGCGGAAGAGGTTTCCAACGGGAAGAGCTGGGCGGAACGGGAGCAGGAGCTCTCTGCCGACAAGGATGACATGGACGAGGACGAGGATGAAGATGGAAATGACGACGAGAGTATAGAGGTACATACATGGCCGGAGATAATGCCGCGGGCGTAGTAAGTGCTTGCTGGCAACTTAGACTTCGCAACCTCCTGGGACAGTGCGGTATTCTCTTGAGAAGCCAACGGGAGACTCTTGGGCTGTTTTCGTAAGGATGAAAAAAACGTGTTGATAGTTGGTTCGGTACACACCCGATCCCTTCGAAATAGAAGACCTGCCTCTCACCCCTCCTCATTGTCCTCGGTGTATAAGGAAGCTTCTGATGAGAGATCCCCCCCTCTCACTCGCGTCACGGCTCGATGATTGATTCGCCAGGAACAAGAGAGTGACGACGACGATGACGATACCGCCACAACGTCCAACATGACAGAAGCAGTAGCGGCACCGGGGAATGACGGAGGCAGGAACGACAAGAGGGCCGCACCCAGAGCGGCCCTTGATGCTATGCTTGCGGGGGACGCGGCCATCAACCCTCAGGTAAGCCGCCACACGTAAGTAGGGTGTGAGGAACGTGGAGGACCGGAGGGATGGGAGGGAGGGGGGTGGAGGTGGGGGCATATTCTGGAAATGATGCACGACGGTTTCTACACCCATAAGAGAGTGGGAAAGTGGGGGTGCTGTTGTGAACGGTCTCAGAGTGGGCTGGCATGTGTGTGCTGGCTTTGGGTACAAAGGTGGGTGCAAAAAATACCTTCTTGTTTGAGTCCATTTTTCACATCCCAAAAATACGTGGCCATCCCCGCTTGGTAGACGGACTCCGGCGTGTCGGACTGCCCTATTTAATAGTGGGACTGTTTTTTTGTGTGAAACAAGGACGCATGACCCCTAGGGTGTTCGTTCTTCCTGTGGCGATGACCAGGAAAATGCTTGCATTGCGTAGATGCCGGTGAGAAACAACATCGCGTCGAGAGACAGACACAAATATAGACGGAGAGCGAGCGAGCGAGAGAGGAAGCGAGAGGCAAGAGATCCGATTTTTCCAGGAAACGCGCGTCTTGATCACGCGTGTCTCGTTTTGTACTTTTCTCCCCCCCCCCCCCCGCCCCCCGGGTAACCGCTCCCTCCAAAAAGGGAAAAAAGGCCACAAAAAAAAAGGGAAGAAAAAAAATAAACCGGCGTCCCTTTCCCCCGGGAAAGGTGGGGAAGCCCTTTGGGGTGCCTACCAATTTTCCAGGGAATTTTATGCCCCCCGTGAAAAAGCTGCTGGAAAAGGCGCGGGGGAACTTAACCACCACCACAAACTGTGAACGGTTTTGATAAGCTCTCTGTGTTTTGTTTTTTTTTTTCCAAAAAGGTTTAAGGGGTGTGCGCA